TGGGTGTGGTGGGATATATATATATATATATATATATATATATATATATATTGTGTATATGTATGTATATATATTTATACATATGTATACATATATATAATTTGTGTATATGTATGTATATACATTTGTATATATACATATATATGTATATGTATATATAAAATCTCAGCACTCCCTTAGTATCATAGTGAGTTGGAGGTTGGAGACCAGCCTGGGCTACATAAGACTCTGTCTCAAAACCAAAAACAAACAGAAATTAATCCGTCCCCATCTTGAATAGTCTTTCAGTAAAATTTACCCTGGGAGGTGTGAATCTGAACAGGCCATCTTCTGTTCCTTAGTTTGTGGCCCAGGCTGGCCTCCAACTCACTGCCTTAAAGTCCTGATCCTCCAGCCTCCACCTTCACATTGCTGGGGGCAGGGGTAGAATTATTGTGCCACCAGGTTTATCTTTAAAGGTCATCTTAATCCTAGAGTGACCATGCTCCTCCTGGGTCAGGATGGTGCATTTTATCTTCCTTCTGGGGAAATCAGCTGCAATCAGACCAAACTATCGGTGTTTGGGTATGTCAATACCCATTGTCTTTTCTTTCTGTTTGACTTTTGACAGGATATAATCAGAGATCCATTCAAGCTTGCAGAGGAATCTGACAAAGTGAAGTCCAAGCATGCGCCTGATGGCACTGGAGGCTGCTGTGGCAAAAAGCAAAGCTGCTGTGGCAAAAAGCAAAGCTGATCGACGGCCAGCACGGAGCTCATGGTGTTCGAGCAGGCGGCTAAAGAACCACTCACATAGGCTTTTAAACCTGCTGTTCCCCAGTGCAGAGATTACAGGAAGAGGGCAAAGGCACCACAATCTAAATTACTGCAAAGAATAAGAATACATTTTATGTGTTAATCTAAAATTCACAGCAAAGCACCAGTTTTTCTATTTCACTATTTCAGCGTTCTGGTGCCACCTAGTGTTCAGAAGTAGAACTGAAGGTTCACTCAAAGGGTCAAAGGCATCAAAATTGGAGGAAGGTGGTGGGATAACATCTTCCTTCTGGCCTACCACAGGACACCTCTGGACTTTACTCTGTGTTTACTCAGGAAGCAGAGTCCCTACTAAATTTATACTAACTATGTCAAAAGATTGTCAATCAAATTTGGTAGGGGTAGTCTTCAGGAACCTGTCTTCAAACCTTTGTTTCTTTCTGTAATTGAGTAAAAAAGAAAACAAATGAATAATAAATTTCACCCTTATGATTGACACCACAGTGATTATCCTGGTCTGTCTTAACTGGTGGTTTTTGTTTTTGGAAAGCTGAGAGATACAAACAGGATTCCAACCCCTTTATAAGATGATCTGTTAAACTTTTAGGGAAATACTGGGTTTGCTTCTAGGTCCCATATTAAAGAAGTTATGAGCATTATAGGAAGGGACAGTACGTTGAAGAGACACAGAAATCTTGGTCCTTATCATCAGGAACTGATAATTCAGACTTTAAACAGCCCTGGGGCTGGAAATGTAGTTCAGTTGGTGTTAATACTTGGCTGGTATGCACGGAGCTCTGGATTTGTTCTCTGGTACCAGGTAAAACTAGGTGAGGTAGCACACACCTAAGGTCCCAGCACTCAGGAGTAGAGGCAGGAGGATCAGAAGCTTGAGGTCTTCCCTCCTCAGCTACAGAGTGTGAGGCCAGTCTGGGATACTCTGTCTCAAAAATAAATAATAACCTTCAACAATGGAGGGATTTGATAGGAAAATCTTATTCATTCTGAGCTCCAGGCAAAAGGTGTTTGGGCATTTTGTTAGCATGGTCCAAGAGATTTTCAGTTAGGAGTTTGAGAATGTTTCGGCCTATAAAACACTGGGATGAATTCTAAGGGCAGATTCCTCTTTTCAAAGAGATCTCACTGGGCAGAGGCAGTGCCTGCCTTTAATCCCAGCACTTGGGAGGCAGACGCCGGTTGATCTCTGTGAGTTCAATGGAAGTCTGGGAAAGTCTCAGAATTCTGAGTGGGTTCAGCTCTCATCCCTGACTTTGACAGTTTTTCCAGCTCTGTTTGTCTCAGTAACCTTGATTGGCTCTAGAGTTCCCTATGTGCACCGTTATAACCGACTGCAGGCTCCCTGAGAGAGCAGGATGGCTCTTCCAGAGGGACACCATAAAGAGAAAGGTTGATTAGACTCGCCTTTCATTTCTTTATTCTTACAGACGTTGACACATTTGTTGCAGGCTGGGGCTGTCTAAGAACTTAGCTTCTGCTGGTCCTTCTGTTCCTTCAGTTCTCTGGTGGCAGATGTGACAGGGACAGCAGGAGTGGTGTCGAAGGTCCAGGTGCCACCAGCCACTTTTCTCATTCGGTAACCACGGTGTCCGATGCCCACAGCCCATCTCTTTGGTCTTGCCACAGAAGGAGCCCGTGTATTTAGCACGCTGGCTGATCTCAGTTTTCCTCACCTGTTTCTGAGGGAGGCACCCAGTGGTCTAGTATTTACTGACGATCTCAGCTTTCTTGGTGCATTTAACCCCGTCACTGTGGCTGGGGCCTGAGCCCAGAGAGGTATCGGTTTTTCTAAACTAGGGTGGAGGGGGGAGAGTGACCTTTCTTGTACCATTCTTAAGTACTTTTAAGAATTTATGTGTCTGTGAGTGTATGCTGTGTGTGTCCAGAGATGGCGTCAGGTTCCCTGAGCCGGAGCTACAGGCAGTTGTGGCTCACCAAATTTGGGTGCTGGGAACCAAACTCAAACCAAACTTTGCAAGAGCATCAAGTGCTCTTAGCTGCTGAGTCACCTCTCCAACTCCTCATTCTTAATTCAATATATATATATATATATATATATATATATATATATATATATA